TATGTATGTATGTATGTATGTATGTATGTATGTATGTATGTATGTATATACTTTTTTTGGGGTTTGTAAATTAAAAAAAAAACTGATGTCCAATGGACATTGTCATGTTTTTAATGCTGCAGTGCACTAAAGTGCAAAAAAGCTGTAGACAGGTTGCAAGCCTCATCTAGCTTGAATGTTAATTTTGGGTAACATCTACCATTCAACCCTTTTAATTTGAGCCAGAACGCTTTGACAGAAAGGAGAATGCAGAAATGACTCAGTCTGCAAGTGAAGGAACAACGAATGATTGAAAAAGAAGAGAGAATCAGACAGAAAAGGCAAGTTTATGCTGCTGCTGCTTGGAATGCCAACCCAAACGGAGTACCGGTATACACTGCAAAAAGCTCCATTTTGTACCACAAGTAGTACACAGCAACCATCGGGATCAAAACTGTTCTCATATATAATAGAATAGTGTATTACACAATATATAATAATAAAGATTTGATTTATTTTTGGCACTTTACACATCCACCTATCCATTCATTATCTGCCATTTGTCCTAATTTAAGTCGCAGAATGCTGGAGCCGATGGAAAGCCACTCTTTGTTCAAACTGGACCACAGAATAATACACAACAATGCTTAGCACACAACCACACATTAATCACAGAGTGCACATGTGTGACAGAATTCAAAAAAGCGTTCAATACAAAAACAACTGGACTTTATTTGTAACAGAAGACGTTTCGCTCCTCATCCGAGGAGCTTTCTCAATTCAAAGAGCAGTGAGTGAGAGTGTTCAGAGAGCATGTGTTCAAAGACTTATTTGCAGCAGTAACACACAAATAAATTATTTAAAAAATATTATTATTAAAAAATCGTACATTGTGATTTCCGGACTTTTTTTTTTAGATTATGTCTCTCACAGTGATGAAAATTTCAGACCCCTCCATAGTTTCTAAGTGAGAGAACTTGCAAAGTCGCAGGGTGTTCAAATAGTTATTTTCTTCACTGTATATATATATATATATATATATATATATATATATATATATATATATAGACACTAGTTGTTTTTTATTTAAAAAAATACACAATGGTTGTTTTAAACTACAAAAATTATAAATCACAAGTATATTACTGTACTTGATTTAGAATAAATGGATGTGACTGCTGATGTCTCTCTCTGGCTGCAGAATGTAAATCTGTACGGTGGGTTTCACTGAACTGCTGGGACCTGTGACACTAAAATGTAGTCAGGAAGGGATTTATATCTATTTAACTTGAGCTTAGTGTGGACAAACAGACATCTAAGTTGAGCTTGGTCCTTAACTTTAGGAAACATGGCACTTAAGTCGATCCTATAAAAATTTCTGCAGTGTGCTTCGGTCCACAAGTGTCATGAGCAACAAGAATAGGAGGTTTATATTTGTTGAAGGACTTGTGGGGATTATCTGTTCCACGTGCGGACAATAAGATAGCTGTATGGTCAAGGCTGTGGCTGTCTGTGCATACTGATTGCTGTGTGTAAGAGTGTGTGTGTGTTTTATGCTTCTTGTATGCAGCGTTGGTACAGTGTTGGCTAAGAGTTTCCAAAGACCTACAAACTGAAACTTCTAGCTGTTCTTGTGCTTTTGTGTCAGACGTAACTTCTGTCTTGCTGACTGCTATTGACCCAACTATAACATGTCTTGTCGTATGTTTAAGTTCATTCTACATAGATGTAGAAGGATGTAAACTTTCCAGTCATGCTTTATACTTCTGGGTGGTCACATTTAAAGTTTGGATTATTTGATGGTTCTAGGCAGTATCATCATTATTTTTAGTAATGTGCTCTTCTGGAAAGTCGAAGAATCTTTGAGGTTGTTCTTTGGATTTGCTGGAGCCTCTCTCCCAGTTTGGAGGTAACGACCCCCAAGTATTCCATGACCACTGAGGCTTTGACTTTCCACATCTATTTATCTCTATCTTGGATTTTTTTCAAGATTCTCATGTCTTCATTTTCCCTCTCACATTGACTGTGGCGATCTTCAGGATATATTTGGCACAGATGTTCCTGTGCACTGTTCCGATCACTTGGCTATGGTGTTTCATATACACTTTGCCTGTCTGCATCTTAGCATCTTAGATCCTGCCAGTTATGTGCTGGACTGGCTGAGATGCATCTTTGCACAACCCACATGTTGAGTCCTGTCTGGTGTTGTAGACCACCAGACAGGTGGTCTCTTGCTCCTGTGCTGCTAATTAATGCCTCTGTACTGACCTTCAGGCCAGTCCTCTCTAGGCACTGGTAAAATTTGTGTTTCTTGTCACTTTCCCAGTCTGCCAGTCTTGCATGTTATGCAGGGATTTATGCTCCCACGATGATCGCTTTCATTCTTTTTTTGCCACATTGTGTTCTTGCTGCCTAAGAGAAAGAGAAAAATTAAACGTAACTGTAACCTGGAACACCTTGTAAGAAGATCTGAAGCTGTCGACTTTGACCTTTCTGACGGATTTGAAACAACTGTTAAGTTCAATGCAAAAAAACAATACATGTTACTGTTTTTAGTATTTTACACCGTTTTATAATGTAGCATGGTTTTTAGTCCGCTTTATATCACTTATTTTATTTACTTTTCATTTTATATGCTTTTATATGATTGTTTTATTGTTGTCTGTACCTCATCTGTGGTTTTTGTTTATAACAGGTCTCTGTTGTAAATGAGTCCTCGTGACTCATTGAGACTAACCTGTATAAATAAAGGTTGAATGAATTAAGATACCGTATTTTCCGCCCTACCCGTCGCACCGTCCTATAAGTCACATCAGTCCAAATATGTCTAAAAAAGTGGAAAAATCCATAAATTTGTTGCTTCGCCATGTATGTCGCATCTATTATGCGTCACTGCTGACGCGTCACGTTTGTTACGCATCACCGCTGACAACCCGAAAATGTAGGCCGAATCCAGAAATGTGGGCCAGTGTTGTGCCAAAAATTGATGGGCTGCCAAATGGCGGCCGCAGGAGCATGCATAGGAGCATTTAACAAGAATTTAACAAGATTAACACTTAAAAACAATTATTTGTTTGCTCTAAATTATTGTGAAGGTGTTTCTCAGTCTAACTTTTGCTTAATAAATGCACTTTGAGGGTCAAATTAGCTGTATTTCAAAAGCCAATACGCAGAAGTAAACGCGTGCACGCGACGAGTCACTGTGCAAATTTAACAAGATAAACACCTAAAAAATAATTATTTGTTTGCTCAAAATTATAGTAAAAGTCTGTCTCAGTCTAACTTTTGCTTAATAAATGCACTTTAATGGTCAAATTAGCTGCATTTCACCAGGGCGGTGCAGCTGATTTGATGGTTGCGCCAAACAGCAAGCAGAACGAAGGTGGAAGACTATGGCAAGCCAATTGTGTCATTAATAGCTGGTGAAGATTCTCAGCCATCTAGGACATGGTAAATTCCAAAAAGTTCAAGACAAAAACAATAAAGTGTAATAAATAAAGTCCAGTTGTTTTTGCTTTAAACTTTTTTTAATTGTCATTATAGCCATGTTTACCTATTACATGATACAACAGCATGCCCTACTGCTACTACTGCTGCCATCTAGTGGTTGAAAATGGTACTGTTATTTTTTTTTTCCAGTCAGAATGAATGGAAACGGTCATATCTCAGCCAAAAATTGGTTTATAAATATGTTGAAAAAAATCCATAAATATGTCGCTTTGGCCTATAAGTTGCAGGGCATGCAAATTATGCAAAAAACGGCGAATTGTAGACCGAAAAATACAGTAGTCGAGAATTTAAAGGAAAATTTTTTGAAGACAAAATTATTCTGTTTCCCTAAATTTGTATCCACAAAAAGTGTTTTATATAGAGATGCTTTAAGCCTGTTGTTGTTCTTTTTTTTGTCTTATAGTAAAACCACAATGTATTACAAACGGATAAGTACTGGTTTTGCTTATTTCATGAAATATTTCTTGCAAATATAACCTCTTAAATATCATCGGCATTCTGCAGTCCCTCATTCACTGGGTCTTTGCTTTGTCTTTGATTTCCCACTACTAAAATTCTCTCAGCTAACCAAATATTTGCACCACCCATAACTGATCTATTTTAACTCCCACTTTCCCACTTGCTCCCTACCCCTGTTCCTC